TATATATCCTTTTTCTTTTTACAATTTTGGTATAAGCTCTATGTGGGTTTCTCTGTCAGCTAAAGGCATGTTTTAGAGTCTCTATACTCTAGTTAATGATTAACTGATTACTAAATTAGATTATGATTATTTCAATAATTGATTAATCACAATTAATCCAATTCATTGTTTCAGCCCTACACTTACCGGGTCAGACATATTTTCGGCTCTTTGATGTAGGATTTATTCTAGAGGGGTGAATGTGGCCTTTTCTTTACAAGTAAGTCCATGACTTCTCAGTCTATTGGTCAAAAGATATCTGCTATCAAATTCCAGATCACAGAGGGAGACTGTAAAATGTCTAATGCCTCTATTGACAAAAAGTTACACATTGTTCCTTTAACAGGCTGTTACAAAGTGTTTCAAACAAAATAAATAAAATGGTGAAACTCATGCAGAATATTAAAGAAAACGTCCTTGATAACCATACTAATGCTATCAGGTTTTTTAACTACTTTGTCAGACTATAATAGACAAAGTAATGCAAATTTATAATGATAACCAGCGTTCATAACTGGAGTATTGTTATAAAGTTTGTAATTGCATTTTATCATAGTATTGTATGTGGGGTTTCTCTGATTCACATCAGCTGTTGCCTCTCATTTCTCATAACATACCCTTCGTCTTTATAAAGTAAATTCTCAGCCTACCATTTACTGCAAACAGTGATCTAAAATATGTAAACTTCCTTAAAATAAGTGTGGCGTAATTGGAGCAGATAAATATAAAGTTCCAGTGGAAAGACTCTTTCTGCCCTTAAATTAGAAAAATTAGATAATATGCAATTGAAATCAGAAATTTGATTATTATTTTGAATGTAAATCATCTTATTTTTTGGAAAATTGTCTTACCTATGTGCTTAAAACAAGACAAAATTCACTTATTTCAGGAGAAATCTACACACTTCTATTCAATGTTTTACAGTGTTGATGGAAGGCATGCAAATTTAAAGGTAAATTTATCAAAAAAAAAAAATTTTCTCCAAACCAAAAATATTTCATCTACAATTGCAACTTTTCTTAAGCTGGATACTCTGGTGTGCAGCCTTGACTTCGCACAGAAAAGCAGTAAGGTGTGTTTGCACATAATTTGAAAACTTTAGTCAGAAGAAAACATAAAGGCACAAAAAAATATATCAATTTCCAACTAGAGACTTGAGCATCAACATGTCTCAATCCCTCTCTGCTTCAGTGGAAAAAAAGTAACAACACAATCAAACATAAACAGTAGTTAAAGGTGCACATTTTCTATTTTTCTTACATTACCAAAAATAAAATATTTAAAACAGATGCTTGCTTCAAAATAAGCCATTACTAACTATCCATATTAATCCACTTAAGCCCACTTATAATTATTGTATACAATCCTCTCCATAAAATATGTATTACAGAAGAGGCTTGAGTAGAGCAAAGTATCTCATATCACCACTTAAATACTAAAAAAATAGTTCATAACACAGAACTAATGACATGCTTAGGATAATTTTTTCATTAGTGCAAAGGTGTGATCAACTGTAAACTGTATCAAGGCTGAGTGGCAGTCTACTACTTAAGGCACATTCATTTATAGTTTTCAAGTAACAATAAATCCACATTATTCAAGATGTGATAAAGTGGGATTAGGTTTGTTTCCATAAGGGATTAGCTGCATAAGTAAACTTCAAACCTCCTACATACCCACAATGACAATTAACACAACTTTTCTGTGGTTGTTTCTACCTTTAGTCAGGAACCTCCTGACAAACTGGATCCATGCCAACTACAGGTCATTTTGAGAGATTTATCATTTCAGAATATTAGGCTTTAAGGATTTTTTTCACTCTGCAGAAAACACAGACTGTGAAAGATTAATTTAGGTTCTCAGGTAAAGAAGATTCTTGGAACATTTCAATAAATCACCCTGACACAGTAATTAAAAATGAGTAAGATCTTCAAAAGGACAGCCTGTGCCTGGAGGTCTTTATCTTAGTTTGTTTTTGATCCTTATCACCTCTTAGTTCAAGTAGAGGAAATTGATCTAAGGAAGGTTTAAAACCAGCAAATTGTTCTCAAGTTCACCTGAAGAGTTTTAAAACTCCCATTATCCTGCAGTCCAACTTATTTTTCTTGTTATTTTCCACTGTTCTCATTCTAAGGCTAAAAACAGAAGGAAAATACATTGAACTATAGTTACACTGTTATGGTATTTGATATAAATGTTTTTTATTCATTATTACTTTAAAATGGACTTATCAAAAAAGGGTTGAAAACATCTTAATTAAGTATTAGTTTTGAGTAAAGATTCTTATTAAGTAGAGTAACATTGGGAGTCTAACAAACTGATATTAGGTAGTAGCTAGTTAGGCTATCAGCTCTGGTATTGAGCCAGCAGTTTGCTGTTAAAGAGACGCTCTGCCTATAGCTTCCCAGCTGATGTTTTAAAAAAGTGCTATATTACTAGAAGCAGTCTGCGGTTTAGTAAAATGAGCATTAAAAAGGTGGCATGGGGACAGTCCAGCATATGTTCAATTAATCCTGCACAAATCTATGGGCTTTTTTTCTTGTAATTTCCCTATGGGATTATTAAAGTATGCCTGATTCTGATTGTGTTTCATGACAAATTAAATCTCTTTAAAACATTGGAACAAATTGACAAAAAAAACTTCTGAAATAGCAGTTCTGAAATAACAGCTTTTTCAAACCAGATGGTGCTTATGTTTCCTACAGGAAAATGTTTAGCTAATTTTTGTCCCTTTACTTAGAAACTGATCTCATTCTGAATTAATCTTATTTAAAATGAATTTTCCCTGACTTGGTCTTATTAATTAACATTTTCCCTGTCAGTTTTTTTTTTTTAAGTTTTTTCTCATTAAACTTCTTTCCAGACAGGCAAATTTTAAGCATCTATCAAGTAGATTTGCTCTTTTTAGTGAGGCAGTTAAGGTCCAACAATGTTATGTGATTTTTCATCAGTATGCGCCAGTTTGTATTTCTGTTTTAGTTAATGGTATAATGGAGGATGTTCTTTTTCCAGGTGGACCATAAGTGATTCTCCTAACTGTCAATCATTCTCACACACTCGTCCTTATTTTCACTTACCAGTGGTGAGACTGACATAGTAGAAAAATTGCAAACCTTCTTTTGGAAAGTAAGCTTGAATGAGCGATGCAAATAGCAACTTTTAAACAGCGTGCACAAGGAGAAATTGGCTCCTGTATTCTCTCACATGCATTTAATAGGCGTTTCCTCTCAGGAGTGGGTACAGGGTTGTGCATGTGCATTTTTTTATTTATTGGAGTAGGCGGGTCTTTTCAAAAATTTGTAAAGATCCTCCACAATACCTTTAATATATTTTTTTTTGTACACAGAATTTTTTGTTTGTTTGTTTGTTTTTTTGCAGTAACAAACTGAGACTTAATCGAGGTTTTGGCAGAGTTTTTTTTTTTCTTTGATTTAGATTTGCATTAAAGGTTTCTAACCTGAATAAGACTGAAGTCCTAACAACTACAAACACTTTCAAACTGAAAGATGAGAAAAATCCTTATACCCCCACACCCCCTCCTGTCTACACACAAATACATGTCTGGACCTCAGTCTTTCTCACTCACATTTGCTGAGTGTTTTCCTGCAGGGTCCCCTACTGACCTCTGCACCCCCCACAGATGAGGTGGGGTAAGTTCAGGAGCCAAGGTATTGTGCCATCTGGATAGACACTCACAGGGTTGCTCATACGCACACATATGTACATATACTTTTGCCATAACCCACACTGAGAAACACCTGGAACTGGTTACAGGACTCAGAGGGAGAGCTGAATGTGTGCATGCCTGTGAATATAAGTGTGGTGCGTGGGGAATACTGGGCTGTAGGTTGTTCATTGCTACAGGCTGTTGTTCAAATCTGCAAATCTGAAATAAAAGGAACGAGCATACACACATTATGCATACCATTTTCTTGGACTGTACAAATAATCTTCAGAGATTAAAAGGACTCTGACATGCAATAATCAGGCGATAGGAATATGTTGCAAAACACTCATAGAGGAGGATAAAGTTTGTTTTACAAAAGAGGGAAGAACATAATGACTGCAACCCTGCTTCTAAGTTATTTGTTATTTCTTTTGTGGAAAAAGTCCTTATAAATCACACAACAGTGAGGCGAGAATTGTGGGATCACTGTTAACGTGTGCAAAAACTCGCTTTAACTGTTACTCAGTTATTTAAGAAAGGTATAAATCTAAATCTTAAGCAAAGAAGTCCGCCTCACGCGTAGACTGTCAACACCCTTCAAAAAAGAAAAAAAAAAAAGTTGAGCCTGTCAAACTTTAATCTGCGACTCTCAATCATCGCGCATGAAAAACGAACCAATGAGAGAAACCCCCGCTGCTGTAAATCTCCTGCTTTAGTTTACTCACCTTTGTTTGCTTCTCTAGCTTCTTGTTTGATGCCAGTGTGTGAGTTGCTGCGCGGCTCTTTCTGATCCAAACCAAAGTTGGAGCACTTTTCTCAGACTGCTTCACTTTCGATCAGGGGCAGAAAAGCGAGAGACGGACACATGGGCTGTCTCATCAGCCCCCCCACTTCCCACCCACCACCATTTCCACAACTCATTCAACTCACAAGCTGGGTTTGCAAAAAAATCAGCAACTGACAGCACAAAATAAAATTTCCAGGGGTTGGAAAACTTTTATAGCTGGCAACTATATTGAAATGTATTTCTTTATTTTTCTGTATATTTATAAACATTGTCTAAATGTGTATATTTCTTTAAAATGAATAAATGTATTCAATAAGACATTTTATTACTAAATTGCAGCATTGAATTTGCATATTTAAGGATTTTTTATTTATATTTATACCCTTATCTATGGTCATGAGCTTTGGGTCATGACCAAAAGAACGAGATCCCAGATACTGCGGCTGAAATGAGTTTTCTCCGTAGTGTGTCTGGGCTCTCCCTTAGAGATAGCGGGAGAAGCTCAACCATCCAGGGAGGACTCAGAGTAGAGCCGCTGCTCCTCCACATCGAGAGGAGCCAGTTGAGGTGGCTCGGGCATCTGATTAGGATGCCTCCCGGACGTCTCCCTGGTGAGGTGTTCCAGGCACGTCCCGCCGGGAGGAGACCCAGGACACGCTGGAGGGACTATGTTTCTCGGCTGTCCTGGGAGCGCCTTGGGATTCCCCTGGAGGAGCTGGCCCAAGTGGCTGGGGAGAGGGACGTCTGGGACTCCCTACTGTAGCTGCTACCCCCACGACCTGACCCTGGATATGCAGAAGAAGATGGATGGATGGATTTATTTATTGCATTTTATAATAATTTTATATCAATTGGGTGTGATGGTGGCATATATAAAAGTAGATATTCTATTTAGTGTATAATGTTAGAATTAAGTTATCTGATTTTTTCTTTGGTCCACTAAAGCTTGCAACATTTTAGTGAAATGTTTTCATTGTAGATTTAGGTTGTTTTCACACCTGATAGTCTGGTAGACTCAGCCTGTAAACGGGACAGATGGACCCAATACTCAAGGTGAGACAGTCAGTAGGAAAGTTCAAAACGTTTATTAAAACAAAAACATAAACGGACAGAACAGAAGCGCTGATGTGGATCTGCGGGCCTGCAGCGACTGCAGGAGGGGGGCAGGCCACTGCCCAACCACCGACACTCTTTAGGGAGAAACACAGGCAAGTGACCACGACCATCCGACAGGAGATGACCATCCAAGCGAGTGACCCACCCGGTTCAAAGGTTCAGTCCAATGTCTCAATTATAGGCAGGATCAACCGATACACTGCAAAGGAGATGCGGCCCTGAGACGCCCAGAGTGTCCCCGATGCTACAGCCCTGGAGAACAGGTCAGGGGGAAAATCGATCAGGCATGAATGGTTCCGAGATCCAGGGTTCCGTAGTCTGCCGAGGAACAGACAGATCCTGGGTTCCAGGAATCCTCAAGCGTTTAGGTAGGTTCAGGGTCAGAACAGGTCCAGAAGGCGTGCCCCAACAGATACGCACAGATGCAGGCAGGCAGGATAGGATGCCAACAGGCTGGCTTAGTGATTGAGGGACAGAGAGAAGACATGCTATTGGGATTATTGGAGGAAACTTTAAACTGGTCTAATCCTTGGAGCCAGGCTTACAGGAAAAAAATGGACCTTCTCCGCATTCCGATCCAAAAGTCGGAGGGCCCCACGGAGAAGGACCAGAACACGATCAGAAGACAAGACAGACAAGAAAACCCTCTCAATCTGCTGGCTGCCATGAACAAGGACACCTTGGAACTAACTAAAAACTAACGAAACAGATAAGCTTAAGAGATAAGCATAAGAGCAATGATGATCTGGCCCAGATAACTCAGACTGAGCCGAATATAAAGCAGAAACCCAGGTGGATAGGATAAGGAGTAATCAGGAACCGGGCAAAATTAAGTAGGTGAATAATGTGAACAATTAAGGTGAGCTATCAGGGCAGATTGTGACAGAGACACCTTTGTGAAATATTTATCAGGATTTAACTGCCATTGTTCATGTTGGAAAAGACACAGTTTCATAGCTTAAGCAACATCATAGCTTCTAATACTAAAAAAATCAGAGAAAATTAAATGAGAAAATGCAGGATAATCAGGCCAATGGTGCACCGGGAGAATAACCAGCATTAATAAGGATGGTAATAGAATAATCTAGCACAGAATATGAGTAGTTAAGAGCTTGAATTTTTAAAGGAGGGGTGAATGATGACAACTAAACCAGATGATTGAATCAGAGGAGATTTAGAGCAGCTGTGGGAGGATTAAGCAGGGAAGCTGATGGAGAATGCCCCGTTAACATAATTGGAGCTGAGCTGAGACATTAAAAAGCTATCAACAGTATAAGGTTTTATTTGGTTTTTTGTTTTTTTAAACAACAAAACTAGTTTGACTCGATAATATAAGATGAAAAAATCATGAGTCAATATTATGAGCAAATACTAAGAAACACAAAACACTTCCAACTGGAGAGTTGAAAAACATAATTTATGAAATAATACAGACACATTTATCTTATCTTATAAGCATATCTTAATAAATGATTAAAAAAAAAGTAAATGTAAATTATTTTTGTTACCATTGTACACACACTATACGTCTCTTTAGGTTCCATGATGATATAAAATGGCCTTTTTACTAATTTGCATCGTAATACAACAATAATTCCGAAGAAGAATACAAATAACTACAAAGTTGCCACAAACACCCCCGAAACAAAACAAACAATAAAAACAAGAAAAATGAAACAAAAAAAACCAAAAACATAAAAATACTGTCCTCTAGGAGAAAATGTATGTACAGCTAACGTAAATGTACATTTCAACTGTTGAATCTGGGGGAAAAAATGCAGCAAAATATGTCTGTGTTATAAGTTTTAGGTGAAATTGAAAATAGGTCTGCCCTCCGGAAAAAAAAAAAAATCTAAAACTTTACGCTATTATCTCCTTTCCTTTCTCTTTAGAAATATCAGAGTTTTTGCAAACACCAGAATATACTATACAAAGAGAAATCCAATAACTATCTTAGATGAATAGTTCAAACCCCAATTAAAACTAAGTCATCTAATTTTAGTTCCTTAAATGCAAAATTCAATGTTTTGAATTATGCTTGTAATTTGAATGGTATTACTGCTACTATTATACTATTATTTTTCATATAGATAAATAAAAGAATGAAAAATTCAGACAGGTTTCTAATGATCTATGAAAATATTAGGAAACATTTTATGTCTGGATATGAACATGCTGCAATTTTATTTTTAATTTTTTAACAATAACAATATGTGATGGATAATGATTGGTGCAGATTATATTCTAAGCATACAGAGAAAATTTTTAATTAAAATAAGGATTATGTAATTAATCAAACTCTATATTTCTGTGTAAGAAAATTGTAATAACTGGTGTTACAAAATTAACAAACAAAAAGTGCAATGTCTTGTGTTTGTAAGTGCAATAAATGTATTTAAGGAATAAAATAAAGTTAAACTATTTGGTTATTTCCTCATTTAACTTTTAAATATAAGCACTGAATTATCCTCTGAGAAGAGGGACCACCAGCCTGGAGGTCAGTATTCTTTCATCCTCAGACAAGTGACAGCAAATATTCAAGATTTGGTGGTTCAAATCTTCACTGTGTGTACATGCTTCTTGCAAAGAGGTTTATCCTTTCTGGAAAAAAAGGTCTGTCCTTCCAGAGACGTGCAGCAAACCTGTAAAGAAATCAAAATAAATATATTAAAGCAGAATAACATAAAATACACAATAATGTTAAAAAAAAATAAAAAATTATTAGCTCTGACTTGATGGGCTCCATTCCCAGCTTCACTTCTTCCTGAACTAAAGTAAAGGCAGCTCTTTTGTTTCCTGTCTTTTATTACTAGATGAACAGATTAAACCAGATGAGTCTGGTCATGGTTACTAAGGTCAGGCACACCTGGATTAATCCATTCATCCACCAGTGAAAGACAGGAAACAAAGAGCTGCCTTAAGTAAGGAAGTAATTAGTAATTAAGGAAGTAGTGGAGTTTTGCATAGAGCCCATTACTCAAATGTAGCAATATGATTATGATTCTTCATTACATACTTTAAGTCTGACATGTGCTAAATGTAATGCGCAAGTGTGTAACATTCTCACTTACAGCACACACAAAGCAGGTATCATGCCAGGTGTAACCAAGGGCCTCCAGAAATTTGTCCCCAGCCTCAATGGGGAACTCACAGCCATGGCAACCAGTACCAAACAAGCTGTAAAAGTCTGTTTTTAAAATAAAGAATGACAGATACCAAATTTTAGAAGCATCCTGGTTTTAAGTGTGTTACTGACAGTCAGATTAAACTATAATAGTATTCTCACAGATTTTTAAAGCAACCGTATAAAAGCCGCAAAACAGTGCCTTTTTCTAATTCAAATCCAACTATTTCTTATAAAAAGAGGGCTTATAGTACTTTTCTTTATATGACAGTTTATTTTTTCCACTGTAGGAGGATAAAACATCTCCCAGCATAATTTGGTTAGTGAGTGTGTCCAATCAGTGGACTGTTCAGTCATCTATTACCCCTCAGATGCCTACAGGTATTTAGCAACTGTGTCTTACATCAGAAAGGTACTAAACATAGAACGCATATAACCCACACACCACCTAATTCTTCCCCTAAGTGGTATTTAGAGCTTATTATATCAAACAACCCACACTCTTAGTGATGTTAGCTTTGATGCGGCAACAGACTCATTTCAGTATCTAAGTTGTTCACAGTTTGACACAAACTTTTAATGCTTTTAAGGTATCAAAATAACTTCAAAAAGGTATTAAACTGATACTGAATTGTAATACATTTTTACTAATATGTCTACAATGTCATTTGATTTAATTGTCCTCTAACCACTTTCCTCTTAATAGCTCTGTGAGATGAATTAACTATTTCAAATAAATAAGCTAGGTAATGCTTTGAACAGGTTATAAACCAGTTGTTATGTTACTTACAGGCATTTCCAAGTGAGTAATGTTAGCTTCTTTGCAGCCAAAACACTTCAAAAATGAATTAATCATTGGGACTAATTTTAACACCTTAAGTCAAGAAGTCAACATATGAAATGTATACCATGCTGTCTTAATATGATAATCGTGCTCAAATACAAAATAATAGCAGAGTCTTTAATATTTGTCATTATACTGTTTTTACTTAAAAAGAATGATGAAAAAAGAAGTGTGATACTGACAACATATGGTACATTGCACATTTTTAAACATCCTTTGGCTTTACAATATTTAAAAAGTAGGCAAAAGGTGCAAAGAGGTACTTGGGTGGAGCAATCTGTTTATGGGATAGGTATCGGTCATGTTCCCTGTAAATAGGGCTGTGAAAGTGTAAAGAACAAAGCCAGTTGTAAAAAATACGAGGCTCTGAATAAAAATCCTGTAAAGGACACAGCAAACATTGAGAAGTTGTCTTTATTTGATAAGACCAAAGTTGAGCTTTCCTTCAGAATAGATTTAACGTTCTGGTTGTTCTTTTTGATGGATGGAGATGCCTTTGTGCGAACATAGGAGAAATGGTCAGGGTCAACAAAACATCCATCCTTTCATCTATCTTCTGTCAAACTCCGGTAGTCTACTCCCATAAAGCGGAGTACACAGGTTGCCAGTCCATATTAGTGGACTGGCAACCTGTACTAGTATCTAGTATATAGACATAGAACCATGTAAACACATACTCACTTCTACTGTAGATCAATTTTGGTGATGCCAATTAACTTAACAATTATGCTTTTGGACTGTGACAGAATATGCTAATTCCTTTCAGAAAGACCCTAGGCTGTGAATCGAACATAGGACCTTCTTGCTGCACTAAATATCAGGGAAATTGTTGATTTAAAAAAATCATTAAAATCCCCTGATTCCTTCATTATTATAGTCTGCTGTTGTTTTTTTTATGTTACATTTGCATTGTTTGATTTATTTTAATGCATTTTACAGCATTTGATTTGAGTATGCAGTTGTTACAGTAGCTGTACAGTATTTTCTCCTCTGTACATTAGACTCTTTTTTTAAATAGTTTTCTTTAATAGATTTCTTTTCAAATAATAGTTTTACTAAAATATCAGTGCTATACAAATACAGTAGACTACTGCAAAGAGTCTTATAATAATAATAATAATAACTAACAATATTCCACATCGGTGAAATTTCCTAAAACAAGGCACAAATATTGACATTTCACCCTGTCAACTGACCTTGCTCACAGTAGGGTTCTCCCTCCTCCAGGTGAAAGGTGTTGTTTCTGATTGGCTGCTGACAGGCAGCACACATGAAGCAATAGACATGCCATGTTTGCTTCAGAGCATTGATCACCTCCTGAAAATAGAATATAAAACATTTTTTGGAGTTCAAGGTGTAATAGAGATGTCTTAGCGGATTTGTATTGACACAAATGCTACAGAGATAATCTTACTTTCTCAAGAGTAATAGAAAGGAATCAATTGTGTAAATGAAGGTGTAAATTATTTTTCAGGGGTCTCATGACCATACTAAAGATAGACTTTCTAATTGTTTCCCCACCCGTAAACTATTAGAGCAAGTAAGTCGGGGGCAGGGTAAAATTAAGGATTAGGAGAACAGGAGTGAGAAAAACAGGTTAATAGGAAGCCATAAGCCGGTTAAAGATGTGTGAGAAATAGTGGGTTGAAAGGATTGAGGCTACAGAGGTTAGAGCATGTGAGGGATAAATGTCAGCGCTACTCTGAAAATGTGATTTCAGCTTCTTGGCACTTTGGGTTCAAACCACACTTGCAGTCTCTAAGGCCTCTGAATCTAATTCTCCTACACTGCATTCCCTAGCTTCAATTATGGAAGACAGAGATATACCAACATAAAGGTTTCAGCATATAACATATCCTTTCGTAGATGACATTTCAAATGAAGAGGTATTTTTACATTTACATTAAGTATGTGACAATATTTACATACAAAGTCATTTTAGTAAAGACTGGTAGAGAATCTTTGTATAAAAATCAGCAGGCTAGTTAATAAGCACCCATCCATTTTCTGCTTTTATCCCAATAAGAAATTAAACTGAAACAAAAACTTTAATAATGGAACATTCATGGTTGAAAACAGATTAACAGGAACCGCATTTAGTTGTCACATTTAGTCAGTTTCTGCAATTTAGATGTTCTTTTTTGCAGTGCTCATTTACTGATAGTAAAATACTATCAAGTCTTGTTTTTAGCTGTAGATACACCCTCTTACCCCCAATATCTTGGCATGGCAGCGACTGCAGGTTGGTGCAAAGAACTCCTCATAGCAGTGTTCACAATACACAGATCCCTTTTCTTCCACAAAGCCTATATCTGCCAAAGATGTACAGCAGTGGACACAGTTGAATTCCTCCTTGTGCCAGGATTTTCCCATTGCCACCAAAAAAGGTCCTCTGAAATAAAGCAAGGAGAGATAATGAAGAAGCATTCAATTCTGCTACATACAGTACCTGATCTAACTTTAAAATCAACAGGAGTACTACTAGGAGCTACTGATTTTTGATCCATGTTAACACACAAAAAAAACTATTCTCATTGCTGTGCAGATGTGAACAGAATGAGACGTTGTTGCACTTTTTAGAAAAAGAGGGGGAGCTCTGTCTCCACAGGTAGCCACAGGAATAGGGTATATGTTGGGTAAATGTTTGTATTTACTTTTCTGATTTTTCTTTTCCTCTTGTTACTCTCTTTTTTTGGGCAACAGAGATGTTTTGGCCCCACAAAATTATAAGCCCCGCCAACCACCCTTGCCCCCTCCATTCCTACCCACATTTGTTTTCCCCCAACCTAGAGACACAGTGCTAGTTTTCTAAAAATATCAATAAAGATTTATATATTTATTAATCTTAAGAAAAACAGCGGAGAATCATTCCTGGCTTTTACACTTGATTTTTGTTGTTTAAATATTAATAAAAATGTGAAAATAAATTAAACCATTACTGTCCCATTTTTCTAATTTCATCATAACAAGTTGAATTTCTTTTTTATCTACCAGCTTGAAATATCCCCAGATTTTATTTAAGAAATCTGGTCACCATAATCCAGATCCAGAAAGTTAAAGCCCTGCCTAGTCTGAGTTGTGGAGCTGTAAAAGGCAATGGTTGAAACTTATTGCTCTTTAGATATTCTATACACCTTTGGTTGTATGTATGCAATGACAGACACAATTCAACTGTTGCAAACACATATGCTCTCTCCTGTTATTGGTAATGATAGAAACAAAATGTTTTTTTTAGTTTTTTTTTAAACATCCTAACATGCGGTGCCAATAAATATGCTGTAATGCATGGATACAGCATTTTGATTGCTAAAGCTTTGGTATATTAGCTAACTGATAAATTGATACAGTTCTCTCTATAACAGCTAAAAGAATATACTTTAGAAATATAGACGTAACCTGTGAACGACTGCAGCTAAGACAGTACCTTGGCCTTGTTCACTCTGGTGATTAAATAAAGTGAGAAAACAAGGTAGCTTAATTCACTGAGAACAATAGGTGTGCTTATTCAAGCCTTGTCTGACAGCAGCACAGCTGTCAGCATGTGGGCAACCTGATCTTTTCAGTACCAAGCAGTTTCGGGTGACACCATCACAGATAAAATTCAGGTCAGGCTGGTCAGCTACCGGATAAGACAGAATGTACACAAGAGGGACAGTGAAGAACTAGCTTATTATGTTGTGCCATAGAGGAAACATAACCTTAAGGTTGCTTCTTCCTTTCAACTAAAATACTCTAGAAAGAGTTTTGATATTTCTTACTCTTTTTGTGCAACATTTTTGAAGGTTTATTCCGTTTTATTCAAGGATTGTTTACTCAAGAGGGTCTCACATCAATTATCATAGCTTAAATATTAAGTAGCCTAATTCAAGAGTGACCTTCCTGCCAACTAAGTGATTTATCTTGTGTTTGCCAACATCACCTTCGTTTTAATCATTATTGTAAAAACAGAACACAAAACTAAAACTAATTATCTAACAAACTCATTATTTATGCTGACAGTGTCACATTTTTTTGTTCTTTTGTTTGTTTGTTTTTTCCAAATATCAGCAGTGTAAATTTTCAGCAGGGATTGACAAGAATCTTTGTCACTGTTAAAACTTTCATTTTTGGCCATCTATGATATAATTAGATAAACTAGATTGCACATTTGTAAACTGGAACATATATTACTTCTCCTCAGTCGCTGCCAAAGACACTGAATATAAAACATTTTATTGAGCGAGTGGATTTTCTGTTTCATCAAGTAGGAACATTGGCATGGAGTCTGTACTGAGTACATATGGTAAGGGGCAAACAAGCTGAAACAAACATATGAGATTCCTGAAACCCTCTGAACATGTTTTAAAACAGCTACTTGGATATCTTTATGCCATATAAAATAAGACAACTAGCTAAAAGTTGAACCATTTTCTTTTTAACTTAATGAGCAAATTTACTGGTTTTATTTATTGCTTCAAAAAAAATTAAATAAATATAAAAATAAAAATGGTTCTGTTATTCCAGCTGTCTTTCTTGTGAAATTTATCTTTACATAAGTCAACACAAATATGATAGCAATTTAACTTAAGAACAGAACATTCAACTTTTTATAATACCTTTAAACCTAGCTGCAGTATTAGTTACAACAATAGTTCCTAACCTGATCACCATGTTGCAGTGGGCACACATAGGGGTTCGCATCCCAGCAGGAATATGCTCTGCCATCTGGACCAGGGTGTCCTCATCTTTAGGGTGGGGTTGAGGCACTGGTCTTGCTGGAACAGGACCGGTGAGGACACTGGCACTGCCGTTACCCTTCATTCCAAAAGATGGGGTAATCAAACCACTCTGAGCCCCTTGACCTACAGGAGTAGAAGGACAGAAAAATAGATGTTGCTATATATAGAATGCCCTGCTTAAGTAGTCAGGCACTTTAAGCTTCTCACATAGAAGCTATAAATTTAAATGTGTTTTATTTGGCTTTTATGTAACAGACCAAGACCAAGTATTGCATAACTGTAAAGTCAAAATAAAATTACAGGTAAAGTAAAAGTAAGTTAGAGGCTGTTAGATGTTACAAATGACTACAGGACAGATACTCTGAATATACTGGCAGATACAAAATTAAAATAATTCAGATCAGATGATATACACTCACCGGCCACTTTATTAGGTACACCTGTCCAACTGCTCGTTAACACTGAATTTCTAAGCAGCCAATCACATGGCGGCAACTCAGTGCATTTAGGCA